CGCCTCTGCTTATGCCCCCTTCCCGCGCACCCAGCTTGGGCCTAGCGCGGAAGAAGCTAGGGCTGCTAGGTTTGGGGCATCCCAAGGTCATGCGGCTTGAAGCCTTGGAGACCTGCGCAAGCCTCTTCCCAAGAGGGTAAACTGAGGCCAGCGCAGAGTAAGGACGTGTCCAAGGTCACCGAGCCCAGCTGCGGGCAGTGGCTGTCTCTTGCGCCTCAAATTTTCACCTCGGTCCTGAGAGCACAGCGCGAGGAGGGCTTGCGCCTCCAAGATATGGGTCGTCCTCTTGCCAGTGCCAGTCTCTTTTCCTTTCGGTAGATTTGAAGAGTTTCATGATAAAAGAGTGTTTTTTAAAGGCTACAAGAACCCCTGCTTTGTCCCTTGTGGGCCCTAGACAAAAGACCCTTCAATTGTGTGTGGGGACGATTCTGGGACTCTCAGGGATCCCAGTCATTTTCTTTCCCTGGTCTCCATATGAGGATGCTGAGGCCATACTTACAAGACAAGGAAAACAGGAAGAAACACCCAAGGGTGCCAACAACTGCTAACCCTAAGATATGGGGACCTGGAGTCTCCTGTAAGTCTAGTGGGCCTTAGGTTGGGGTACCAAGAAGACCCAGAATCTGCCACCTCCTTTCCACAGATACCCACCATATAGCCCCACAGGGCTGCCTGTTCCTCTGTCCAGCTGTCCCCTGGCTTTTTAGTCTATCAGCTCAGAGGAGACAGAGTCTTCCCAGTCCCGAGGCAGCCTTGGGCTATTTCTGGGGCTGGAGCCAGGCTGGGGTTAGGTGCTGCTTGGTGCTGGTTTTTCCCGGTCCACCTCCCTAGCCCCCATCCTTAGCCTGCTCCAACAACAAGTAGGGAGGGGGAGGGCATTGTAGAGAGGCAGAAAGACAACACATACAAAGAAGCAGGGCTCAAAAAGGGCAGGGAGAACACCCCCACCAGGGAAGTGGAGGCAGGAGGCAGGCCTTTGGGGATCCTCCTAGGATCCTCCATAGCAGTTTTGAGCCTGATATCACTTTGGCTATTGATAGTGGGAATGTGAGGTGCCCTCCACCTACCTGGACGTCAGAGCTATTAGGTGAAGATGTGTGTGGAGATACCCTGTACACAGTAGGCACTTAGCAGTGTGTGTGGGTTGGGCCTGCTTAGTTTCATCTGACAGTGGAAAGCTGAGCCCAGCCTTCTCTACCCGATGTCAAGATGCCCCACACACTGGGGTCCTCTGTGCCCCCACACCAGTCCCGATGGCCACCTCGCTGCAAGTGGACAAGGTAGCTGTCTGTCCTGAGGCAACTTGGGAGGTGGCTGTGTCAGGCTGCAGTCTGTCCCAAGGGCAGATTCATGTTCCATATGAAGGGGAACCTTTTATGTTCACCCTAGGAAGATGTCAGGCCGGGCAGGTTGCCAGAGCCCTGGGGCTTGTGGCTGAGAGTGGGAAGGAGGCAGGACTTGCCACTCCATGTCCAGCAGCAGGAGAAGCAAGAAGGCAACTCCTCTCCAGGCACCCACTAGACCCTGCAGTCAGGAAGAATGCTAGGCCTGGGAGTCCCAGCCCCTCTCTGAGCTTGGGCTCCTTGTCATTGGGTCCTTGCAACTCCTCCCCAGTCCACAGTCCCACCCCAGGCCAAGCCACCATCAGTGTGCGTAGGGACCAGCCCCAGTCTCTGGTGTTACCACACTGACTCACCCCCACACTCTTGGCATTTAACTATTTATTTTAAAAATATTTATTAAGTACCTATCCAGGGGCTGGCAGCCAGGTAGAGGAGATAGTAAACATCATATCTAGCAAATATGATATTGTCTGATAGAAGGTGGTAAGTACTATACAAAAACTCAGGGCAGGAAGAGGGATGAAGTTGCTGGGAGAGTCCTTAGTGTGGACTTCCACAGGAAGGGCATTCTGGGTAGGCAGTACAGCCCATGCCAAGGCCCTGAGGGAGGACTACACCTGACTTGTGGGAGGAGCATCTTAATCTAGGCCTCAAGGGATGAGTTCACGCGAGGAGGTTGGAGGAGAGCAAGTTAGGGGGCAGATATAAGTTATTTGGCTCCTTGCTTGGAAGAATCTCAAGCAAAGCTGGTGCAACAGAGTGATAACAGACAGAAAGCAGTTCCACACAAATAGCTTTCTTTTTTTTTCCGAGGCAGAGTCTCAAGCTGTGGCCCTGGGTAGAGTGCTCTGGCGTCACAGCTCACAGCAACCTCAAACTCTTGGGCTTAAGCCAGTGGTTCTCAACCTGTGGGTCGCAACCCCTTTTTACTGTATTAAAGGTTCATTAGGCATTAGGAAGGTTGAGAACCACTGGCTTAAGAGATTCTCTTACCTCAGTCTCCCAAGTAGCTGGGACTACAAGTGCCCACCACAAAGCCTGGCTATTTTTTGTTGTTGTTGCAGTTGTCATTGTTGTTTAGCAGGCCTGGGCAGGGTTTGAACCCTCCAGCCTCAGTGTATGTAGCCGGCGCACTACTGACTGAGCTATAGGCGCCACCAACACAAATAGGTTTTATTGTAGGAAATAAATACAAAGCAAAAATGCTTTCTAGGGAGCAAGTCAATCTCCACGAGTGGAGAAAGATGTTAAAAACTCCCAGGTAGGTGGCGCCCATAGCTCAGTGGGTAGGGTGTCAGCTACATACACCAAGGCTGGTAGGTTAGAACCTGGCCGGCCAACTAAAACAACAATGACACCTGTAACCAAACAACAGCCAGGCACTGTGGTGGGCGCCTGTAGTTCCAGCTACTTGGGAGGTCAAGGCAAGAGGATTGCTTGAGCCCAAGAGTTTGAGATTGCTATGAGCTGTGACACCACAGCTCTCTACTGAGGGTGACATAGTGGGACTCTGTCTCAAAAAAAAAATGTTTGAGGTTGCTGTGAGCTGTGATGCCAGAGTACTCTACCCAGGGAAACAACTTGAGACTCTGTCTCAAAAACAAACAAAAGAAACTCCCAGGTAGTTTCCTTTCTTTTTTTGCCTTATCCAGGGGAGGGCTTTCAGGAGGTGTAAAATGTTACCAGATGATTGATAAATGTGATTAACAAGTGTTCTGAATTTTCCTGCAGCCCTTTCCCTTGAGTGGTACCCCCATGCCTAAAGTGCCTTCCTGACCTATATCTGGTACCTGCAGAATTGGTTCCTGCCTAATGTTTCCCCTGAGAGACATGGAGACCGAACATCTTTGTGGTTTGGGGCTTAAGGTTTGTCTTCTGCAGTTGCTTAGAGCTGAACAGGGACGATGTTCTCCAGGCTCTGTGACCTCTTTCAAGAGTTGCAAGTAGAAGTCACTTTTAGTCTTAGTCAGAAGCTTTACGGGGGTGGGGTGGTATTACCTTGTTCAGGTATGTGGGTAAAATTCCCACACTAGCATAAGCTTCATGTGGAACTATTGAAGCCTTAATGACACACAAACTTAAGGAGAATGTTAAGAATGCATGGGCCGGCTCGGTGCCTATGGCTCAAGTGGCTAAGGCGTCAGCCACATACACCTAAGATGGCGGGTTCGAATCCAGCCTGGGCCCGTCAAACAACAATGATGGCTGCAACCCAAAAATAGCCAGGTGTTGTGGCAGGCACCTGTGGTCCCAGCTACTTGGGAGGTGGAGGCAGGAGACTCACTT